GGTTCTTGAGTTTCCTGGAGAAACAGCCCTGTTGTATTTTATCTTTCCCAGAGTCTTACCTGATCGTGGCTTCAGGCCAAAAGGAGCTGTGTTGCTTGTAGTAGGAGATTGTATGGGAGTTTTCGCTTTACTCTGTGTGTTTCAAGACAGATATGGGTAAGAAACTGTACTTCTCAGGATAATTGTTCACACAAAATATAGAGGTTCAATCAGGCAGCATTACAATTATTTCTCCCAAATTGTTAACATTATAGGCTCAGCTTCTGAAATCCTAATTATCTGTTTATTATATCAAATCTCCTAGGATATGTCTACACTAGCTCGTTAGTTCGAGCTAGGTAGGCAAATGAGGGCAACCGGAGTTGCAAATGAAGCCCGAGATTTAAATATCCCTGGCTTCATTTGCATCTTCCCGGGCACCACCATTTTAAAATCCCCCTCAGTCCGAACTCCGTGCCCGTAATTCTAATTACCGGTTCACCTCGTTCCACGAGGAGTAGTTCCAGAGATCCTAATTCGAACTACCTACTCTGTGCCGCGTGTAGCCGCGGGCACGGAGTTCGGACTAAGGGGGATTTAAAAATGGCGGCGCCCAGGAAGATGCAAATGAAGCCAGGGATATTTAAATCTCGGGCTTCATTTGCAACTCCGGTTGCCCTCATTTGCCTACCTAGCTTGAACTAACGAGCTAGTGTAGACATACCCCTATTGACTACAAAGGGGATTCCGAGTAAGAACTGTAGGGTTTTTGTAACTGTTCTAATTTTATCTGATTATTTTTCAGGTTTTTTTCACATCATCACTTTATTATTACAAAAAAAATTTCACATGAACAATAATTCATCACTATAGTGCAGGATTTCAGAATGAATAAGAAAAGCATTCCTTCCTTACATACATTCTGTTCTTTCAGTGCATTAATTCCCTTCCTTGCCTAATTGCTTTGCCTACTATGTTGTGAAATTCCGCGGAAGGAAAAGCAGACAAATCCTAATGAACAGAAACCAGAACGGGAGATGTTATTCAGACACCTCAAATCATCATCCCATCTCCCCACAGATATTGAACTGGGTGTGTAGATTTATGCTGGAGTAGTGGAAGGAATACAGCAAATGGTGGGAGAATGGGGAGAATAAACACTTCACCTTTCTGTACCCTGGAGATCTAAGACTGGAAAGATAGTACAGCACAGACTGTATTATCTTCCTGTATCCTCCATGGTGGGAATAAACCAGTAAAGAGGATTCCTGGGGGAGCCACAAGTTTTGGGAGTCACATCACCAAGGCTCCACTGGAGCTACAATGGCAGAAAGTGGATGTAAGTCTCTGCAGATCAGGGAACAGCCACTAAAGCAAGACCCCAATGGCTCTGGCCTTCATCCGATGCATTGATAGTCTATGGAATTTCTGAGCCATGAACACATGGGTTTCCTTGAGAACCACTAAAGAGATATCTTCAGAAGGAAAAGCTCACGGGTTCCTTTCCTTTAATCTCCTCCTGAGGGTGTTTCCATAGAGGAGAATAGGGCCAAGGAAAGTACCTTTCCTTCCGAAACCTACAATACTAGTAGAAATGTAGCCGTGTTAGTCTGGTGTAGTACAGGTATGTCCTGTGGTTGTTGGTAAGACAACCACCTAACCTCAAGATGATTCTTACCAACAACCACAGGACATACCACACTAATACCAACCCTGGTACCTTCCCTTGCAACAAACCCCGCTGCCAGCTTTGTCCACACATTCACTCTGCTGATACCATTATTGGACCCAACCAAGTGAGTTATAAGATCAAGAACACATATTCCTGCGCCTCCAGAAATATAATCTATGCTATCATGTGCCGAAAGTGTCCGTCTGCTAGGTACATTGGACAAACGTCTCAGACACTTCGCCAAAGAATCAATGCCCACAAAACAGACATTAGACAGGATCACAAAGAAAAAACAGTTGCTTGTCATTTCAACCAGAAAGGACACTGTCTGAATGACCTGCTATCCTGCATCCTACTTCAGAAGACATTCAAATCTGCACTTGAAAGGGAATCTTCTGAACTGGCATTCATGCTAAAATTCGCCACTCTCCGCACGGGACTTAACAAAGACCCCAGCTATCTTACCCATTACAAAGATAGCTTCCCCCATTATCACCTCTAATTCTATTAACTCACAGACATTTCCCCTTCCCCACCTCTAATATCATTAACTCACTGGCATTCACCTCCTTCCCCCCCCCCTACATCCCCCTTCTGTTCTGTAATGTGATTTGTCCTTTTCATGTGTGTTCATTTTTTTTAAATTGTATCCTTTGGTATATATGGTTGTGACTATTTTCTTCCATTATTTGATCTGAGGAAGTGGGTCTGGCCCACGAAAGCTCATCATCTAATAAACCATCTTGTTAGTCTTTAAAGTGCTACATAGACCTGTATTTTGTTTCAGCAACAATACTAGGTCACTCTTAGCAAGGTGTACTTCATTCAGTAAGTAGTTCCACTGAAATGAACTGAAGTTCTCGTGGAATAGGGTACTACTCACCACATGAAAGCTGGCAAAATTTGGGAAAATATAATGAAATAAAACAGAGGTATGCCCTTACACAGAATCAACATACTGTGTATTACACAACAGAAACAGTTCCAGAATTGCATTTTTGTGTTCAATTAAACATTAAGAAAACAATCAATTTAAACAGATTACAGCAGATAGTAATGGAAAACAATCACTTATGATTGTAACTCACTGAGTTGTGATGTTTAATTACCTACTTAATTTTCAGTAGGTAGAAATATTCAAATACTTGGTATAGTTAAAATACAATGCAATGGGATAATATGTAAATCCAAACTAAATTTTACAGTAACACAAACAACAGTATTATCTCACCTCATTGTGTGAACTGCATCCTCCTACATTCCAGACATTCAGATCATTCTGCATGTTTGAAAAGAAATAGCGTGCTTGGTTCAGTAAAGTAAATTAATAATACATTAAAGAGCACTATGCTAGAGAGATAGATATAGGAGACCTATGCAATCCTACCCACACTCATCTGGAGAATGAGTAAATAAGTACTTAAAAATAAGAAATACAGCACAATCTTAATAACTAATAAGAATACTACTTAGCATTTATATAACACTTTTTATCTTCAACAATTAGTTCTTCAGTGAAACAATTTTTTCCAGAAGAACACACAAACATTTCTATTCTTAGATGAGCTAGTGAGTCTCATTAAAACCAAACAAACTTTGAGTTGCTTCTGTGCATTGCAACAATACATTTCTTAGCATAGAAAAAATTCATCTCTCTCTATATTAAAAAAACCTTTTCCTGAGGGATGACAGAGTGACATCATCACATCACTCAGCACCCCGCCTGCCTCCACCCTCCTTCCCTCCTCTTTCCTCAGTGTTCGGCTGCCACACGGGGTCTCGGGAGGCTTTAGAGCAGCCCCCCCTCCAGTGCTGGGTGGGGGCCTGCAAGCCATGTAGCCTCTCCACTCCACGGTGCTCCAGGGGGCCTCCCCCTCTCCGGTGATCCTGGGGGGTGGGAGTCGTGTTCTGTCCCTGCACCCAGCCCCCTGACACATCCCCTAGGTTGGGGGAAGAGCCGAGCCAACCTTGCTCCAGCCCCCCCTTCCTAGCTTGCAGCCCCCCCTCCAGTGCTGGGTGGGGGCCTGCAAGCCATGTAGCCTCTCCACTCCACGGTGCTCCAGGGGGCCTCCCCCTCTCCGGTGATCCTGGGGGGTGGGAGTCGTGTTCTGTCCCTGCACCCAGCCCCCTGACACATCCCCTAGGTTGGGGGAAGAGCCGAGCCAACCTTGCTCCAGCCCCCCCTTCCTAGCTTTTGGGGGAGGAAAGAGCTGGGGCTTCT